CCTTAGGTGTATGTGGCTGGCGCCTTAGCCGCTTGAGCCACAGGCGCCGAGCCGATCACATCTTTAAGTTGACCTGATTTTCATAGACTGGACACACACCACAGTATATATCAGTAGTGTAGGCCTAGTTCCTTATGTTGACCAGTTTGCTACTGTCCCTTGGGTCATCAACTTACAGAGATTCTATTCTTTGTTAACTTTTACAATGTATAGCAGTTATCGCTTTAAAGTTTAGTGTTATTTTTCTTAATCATTTTCTATATTTTTTAAGTTTTTACAATAAAAAATATTAAATTTTAATGAGAAAAATAATCACTGAATTTATATAAAGTGGTTTGGAATGTGATTATTATGGGAAGAAATTACATACGGTAAAACTCTAACTCTGTAAGTTAACCACTCAAGGGACTGTAACAAACTGTCAACATATGGAGGTGGTCAACCTAAGGAACAGGCCTACTCTACTGGTAAGGACATGTGACATGTGGTGCATGTCTGGTCGATGAAAATTAGGTCAACTTAAGGAGATGGTTGATGTAGGGAGATGGTCAACTTTGGATTTTCTATTGTATTTGTAGTCCAACTCCTACCCGCCCTTGAGGGAGGAGAGCATTTTTTGTGCTATAGTTGCTGCTGGCCAGGCACTGTTAAAATTGGCCAGTGGGCTAAGTGGCATCCAGACAAATTTCTGCTCGGTGCTAACAACCTTTTCTGATTTTTCAGTAGATAATACTCATTTTGACCCTGGGAAGAAACTCAAGAAGAAGCTTTTAAAACTGAAAGATTTAGATGGGTCTTGACCTTTGCTGGGCAGCCTCCAGCCATAGGAGTTCCTCTGCTGAGCCCAGAAGATGACTGCAGAATTGAAAGAAGCCATGGCCCTAGCCCCTTGGGACCCAGTGAAGGTGAAAAAGGAGGAGGAAGAAGAGGAAGATTTCCTAGGTCAGACATCCAGCCAAGAAGTGCATGCTGAGAACATCACAGTCTGCACCCCAGGAGAGGGTCTTCAGACAGGCCTTGATGTATCAGAAGAGGAGGAAAAGGTAAGTGGTAGGCTGGGCAGAAAGAGGGAGGAGAGACCTAATGACCTCAAGTAGTTAAAGAGGGTCCTCTGCCCCTCTGTTTCCACACCTGGAGTCTTTACTTCCTAGTCAGGGCTCTGGCCTTTAATACTTTGTAATGTAATAGAAACATTCCCTTCTGATTGGTGTGACATTCAGTACTTTCTGTGAACCAGTCACTATCAGACTTTGCTA